AAGTCCTTCCCAAACCAAGCTTTTTAGCCCAGGCTAAAATAGCCAAAAAAGCCAAAAAGTCAAAAAGCCAACCCACTTCCCAAACGGAGTGGAATTATCAAGTCCTAAACTTGGTTTCTTATATGATTTTCATTGGTGATTCGTCCACTTTTTCGTAATAAAATTTTCCTTCTAATGATCGATGGAACTTATAGTTTGATTATTGATTACTGAACTGGCAATTCTAATTGAGTACAACCTTTAATGCATTGATATACATTTTTTCCATGGCAAAAATGCTAGTGTAGGGTCTCTTTGTTTTGGGTACTTTCATTTAATGCATTGATATTCAACTTTTATTTGTAAACTCATCAAAAAATTGTTATCACAAATATATAAAATGAATTTGATGCCTAAATTCGTTGGGAAAAAAAAAACTCGAAAATTAATTTTTAAAGAAAAAAAGTGTAAACCGCAAACCGCCCACAACCGCCCGCACATTTGCAAACCCTATCCGCACAAACCGCAAACCGCACTGCGGGCGGTTGCGGGTTGACTTTTTCCCAAACTGCATAGATGCGGGCGGGTCAAAACCGAACCGCAAACCGCACAAAACCGATCCGCGAACACCCCTAGCACACACGTAGTGGATAGTGATTGGAGAAAAAGGAAAAAAAATAAATAAATAAATAAAATCTGACCAATGAGAGAGGGAGTGAGTCAAGTGGTGATGGAAAAAAGGGGGTCTGAATCTTTTTCCATGAAAAATGTTTCAAACCCCCTTTCCCTCTCACATCCTTTGACCCCCTTTTTCCTCTCATTAGCCAATTTTTTTCCTTCTCCTCCAATCACTACCTGCCACGTGAGTGTGGGGTGGTGATTGGAGGGGGTCTCTATCAATGCTGTTTTTCCATATATATTACTAATCAACTAATATCTATATAGCTGCCACTTAACTAACTTTATTATTATTATTTATTTTTTTGTTGGGTATTGAGCACGAAATTAGGAGAAGATTATAAGGGTCGTCACCTCTTATTTGTGTGAAAAATACTATTTGTCATGACATTTTAAAAATAAATATATTATTTTATATGTAAAATTGTCTCCAGTATATATCTCATGCATTCTCTTTCTATTTTACACTAAAAAAACTTTTTCATTTTATTAGAAATTACTTTTATAGTATTTAATTTTTTTCTCTCTATATATATAATTTATATCAGCAGTGATTTAGACCCCCTCAAACTTTAACCCCCACCATCCCCACACACACACGTGGCGGGTAGTGATTGGAGGAGGAGAAAAAAAAGAAAAAAAAAAATTGACCAATCAAAAAAGAAAAAGGTCAAAAGAGAGTGGGGGAAAACGGGTCCAATCTTTATTCAATTTATATATCATATTATATATCCACGTGTGTCTATGTATATAATGAACAAAAAAATATTTTTTTTTAGCCCCTCTAATAATAAAATCGTCGTTCCGTCTTTGGGGATACTGTTCTGATGTCTATATTCCCTTCTTTGCAGTGTCAAACAAGATACAGCTCAAGAGTGTATGGATTCAATAAAGAAAGGTCAGGCAGATATAGTAAACTTAGATGCAGGACTTGCTTACATTGCCTTCCTCAATTACTCCATGAAAGCCATTGCCAATGAGATATACTGCAACCATGCCCAAACCTATGATGCTGTTGCAGTTGTAAACAGAAAGGCCTGCATGGCTAATCGGGCAATCAATGTGATGGACTTTAAGGGACAAAGGTCTTGTCATGGAGGCTACTCCACCGCTGCTGGCTGGAACTACCCAATGTCTCATATCAAGAAACTGTTTGATTCCAAGACAATGAGTGACCGGGAAATGGCTTTGAGTTTTTTCTCTGAGGTCTGTGCTCCTTCGGAATTTGAAGGAATGGGTGCTTGTACTGGGTGTGGAAAAGCGAATGGGTCGTGTAATGGGAACAGTTTGTTGTTCTTTGGTTACTCTGGAGCGTTTCGTTGTCTCGTGGGGGGCTTTGGGGATATTGCCTTTGTTAGAAGTGATACTGCTTTGCTCTACTCCATGGAAGGTCCTCAAAACCAGTCTTGGTCAACAAAATCTGTTAGAGGTTTCATGTGGGTATATGATATCATTTGGTTCTTCAAATTAATGTGAAGGACCGATATTTTTAATTTGGCTTACTTATTGTATTCATGACTAATCCTTTTCCTTATACAATGTGTGCAGGTATCTTTGCCCACAAGGGGGTTGCAGAGAAATCAATGGCTATCCAGGATCCTGTTCGTAAGTGACCGAACTTCTTGTTGGTATTGTTTTCGCTTTCTTTGTTATATAAAATAAAAACAATGAAAATTCAAAAATACTCACCCATTTCGTATCTTTTGTCATTTTTGTGTGAAAACAATTTTTTGATTTAAAAAATGGACTGTTTTCCAAAAATAATAATATAATAATGATAAATTATGAAAGCAGTATGCCAAAACAAATTTTATATTAAAAGATAAATTTGCTAAACATAAAAATGATGTGTGAAAATCTATTCACCCCCAAAAAATGTGTGATAATCACTGTTTGGAATGATTGATAGGGGAATGGAGGAAGGAGCCCAAGTAAGAAATGAATCAGTAAACTGCCAGCAGCACTAGCATGGTAGAACACAAAATTTGAATTGATTAAATTATAACTTTGAAAAAATTGAAGTTTAAGTACAATTGTAACTCTGCTATAATTGTGCCTCTGTTAAATGGGTTGAGAATGTGTCTACTAGTAGAAAAATTGCACTAGTGCAGGAGATTATAACAATATGTGAACATTTAGTTAAATTACTTAGGTGAAAATGGTTCAATTTTTATTAATCCACTGTAGAATACAAGTTTCTGTGGTGACTCACAGTATCTGAAAAATTAATTGCAAATATATCGAGTGTTGCGCAATGGAAATATATTGCAGACAAATTAAAGATCAAATTAGCAAAAAATACAAGATTACATGTTGAAAATCAAGCCACGTTTTCATCAGATGCCATATGCATCAAGCCCTTTTCTTTCTTTCGGTGATTATTTAATTCATATGCTTTATTTAATTCATATGCTTTCGGTGAGTGTATGCTGATATAGATATAATATATATTAATGTATAGTTAAATATGTAGTGGCCTCGTGGCCTGCTTGTTAGTGTTTTTGGCCTCGTGGCCTCGTGGCCTCCATCTGATCATATTGTATAAACCTCCTATATAATGGAGTAGCATTGTAAGGCTTAATACATTGAAATAAAAAGTCTATGTTTAGTCTTTCAATCACTCTCTCTCTCTCTCAATATTAATATTTCTCATTACATATTTGTAAAATCTTTTGCTGGTCTCTTTCATTGATTTAGAAGGGACAGAAAACAACTTAATAGTCAAGTTTAATTCATTGCTACAATTTTGTTGTTGATGTTGCAATTATGGTTATAGTCCTCTGCTTATCTTTGATCAGATTTGGAACTGTTCCTGCAAATGTGATCATGGTGAGTAACTCCATTCCGAATGAGAAGAAACGTTTTGTTTTGCAAACGTTGCTCAACAACACCTGGTTTGATGATCTTTATGCCGCAAAAAATGGAGACAGCAACCTACTTAGTACAAGGTATTAGACATTTAGGCTTTGTTAGGACAGTAGTTCTTTTCTCTCAAAGTTTGATCATATGTTGATGCTTGAGTAAATTTTAACATGAATCTGAAGAGTAAAAAGCTCAAAGATTTTCTTAATCTATTGTTATAATTATTATTTTTACTTCTCTTCTGTGTAGCACACAAGGGTTAGCTGTGGTCAAGAAGCTAACAAGGTCCTACCTAGGAAAATCAGCTTCGATTTCCCAAAGCATACAAGAATTAAATAACACAAGTGTCTCAGGTATAACTCTCTCTCTCTCTCTTTCTCTCTCTCTCGGTAGTGAAGTATTTTTTTAAATGTTCGACGTAGTGTTTTCATTTTCTGTTTTCTGTTTTTATGTTCTGCAAAACAAACATGTTTGGCAAACTGTGTCCAAAAACTATTTTTGGGAAAATTTTCTAAACAAGAAGTTGTTTTTTAAATTTTCAAAAATTGTTTCCTTGCAAAAACTGAAAATTATGGGTGTTTTCAAACTTTTTGTTGTTTTCGTTTCCGAAAATGAGTAATACTACAAACCCACCCTTATCTACCCAGAATTATCATTTTATGGCTCAAATTCATTACATGGATTTCACACCACGCAAATTCAATTACAACCATACAATCTTATTCGGGGTAAATTCGGGGTAGATAAGGGTGGGTACCTAGAATTATTCTTTCGAAAATACAAAAACGAAAACACAACCAAACAGCCTCAGGTACAGATATACCTTAATGTTTTACTGACTATAATAAGCTTCAATTTTTCTTGACAGATGTATCTTCTCCTTCATCTGCATGCTTATACCGCCAAACATTTGTGACACTCCTCTCTTTTCTGATTGTGCTCACTTTATCGGTATAGAATCTGATACAAAGAGAGGCATGATTATTTTCACCAAAAAGAGGTATAATGGAGTTTATGGGGTGAACTTTGTAGTGAGAATAAGATAACAGCACAAATTACCTAAATAAAAATTATATAACATCGAATGTGATAAGGGTGGGTACCTAGAATTATTCTTTCGAAAATACAAAAACGAAAACACAACCAAACAGCCTCAGGTACAGATATACCTTAATGTTTTACTGACTATAATAAGCTTCAATTTTTCTTGACAGATGTATCTTCTCCTTCATCTGCATGCTTATACCGCCAAACATTTGTGACACTCCTCTCTTTTCTGATTGTGCTCACTTTATCGGTATAGAATCTGATACAAAGAGAGGCATGATTATTTTCACCAAAAAGAGGTATAATGAAGTTTATGGGGTGAACCTTGTAGTGAGAATAAGATAACAGCACAAATTACCTAAATAAAAATTATATAACATCGAATGTAGGTATAAAATGCAGAAATTCTATGTCATTCATCTTATGTACCTTTTTTTTTTTTGTCCTCTTTGTGAAGTCGGAGCTAATAGACTTTTATATATGGGTTTCAAAGTGCCTTGAATTATTTGCAGTACCATGGAGATGTAGACTTATTACCCAATAATATGGTTCAGTAATTCAGTGGCCTATTTGGATCAATGAGTTCAACTTACATATAATTGTTTTTGTGAAATTTAGTTTTAGAATTATTTATTCCCTATGTTTATGCTATGTAACATCATATTTGTCTCTTGACAATCAAAAAGAAATCCTGGATTTTCAGCTACGTTTGAAGGCTTACTATGACTCACTCTGTGTTCAAAACAGCACATAGAAAAGGGTACTTACCATTGTTTCTTCAATGTATAATATTGTTGAGAATACTTCCAATTCTGTTTTGAGTTTTTGTTCCCAACATTCCATTTCACAGCTAAAATAAGGATAAAATTTTATCCTGGAGTCAACTGATATACTAGCAGAGAAAGGTCCTAGTAATACATCAAACATATGCAATTTTGCTACATTACATACTGTTACATGGAGTTTTACAATGGGTATGGGTAAAAATTATCATGGAGAAATTGATCTAGGGATAATGATATCGCCAATGTTGTTGTGCCATGGATCAGCCAAGTGAGTTGCCAGGTTCTCCAACGGTCCTGTCCCTGGGTAAGCGGACTGTTGAACACAGATCCCCACGAAAGCCAACAAGGCAAGCCGGCCTAAACATACAAATTACAAACATGTCAGTGAACAATGAAAGCATGATGAAGTGTTGGAAGTGCCCAAGCAGGTAGAGAGACAGTTTTAAATATTGGTCGTTATGTACTAGGATTTTGAACTTTTGATACCCTTATTTATCAATATATCGGCCAATATTGTCAGATACTATATGATATTGGCCAATAGATGACTATATCACCGATACGGATACATATTTTGATACCTTCATTTAGAAGCATAGTTAGAGAGTGTGGAGATTTTCTAACCATTTTTTACTTCTTTGACCTTGTTCTCCTCAAACTTTACTGGGTCTTTGGAGTATCCCAATGGGTCGAAAGCTCCACCGGGGTACTTCTTCTTCTCAGGGTCCTTTTCCATGCTGCGCTGGTGCTCGACGAAGGAGATGGCAAGGAATTCAATGGCCAAGATGATTGGGAGGGTGCCCCATGGGACAGGTTGGCCAAGGTAGGTGGCTTGTCCTCCAGGGATTGCCGCCCACTCTTGAGCTTGTACCCAGTTGCCCAATCCCAAGGCCTCTGGAACTAGGATCCCTGGCTGCAAATTGAATCAAGAAACAAAAAAGATAATTAATCTTCTGTTAGGAATTGCGGAACTCTTATGCTGTGTTTGGTTGGGGGATTTGGGGAGGGATTTGGAAAGGGAAATGAAAAAGATAGCTGAAATATGAATAAAACATTCTTATATTTCACCTAATTTCACACACTTTTTCCCTTTTCTTTTCCAAATCCCTCCCCAAATTCCCCAACCAAACACAGCATTAATCGAGATTGGTGAGACCCAAAAAATAGAAAAAATTAAATTAACTTGAACTATAAATATAACACAAAAGAACACAAAGTTTACGTGATTCAATCCAAAATTAGGTTTACATATCCACTATCGTTATAGTTGCACTATGATTAAAAAGAGTTACACGGAATATATAGAAATACCACTCCCCTCAACTTGTACACAAATAATTAGGATTATAGGTCACGAGTAACAAAAATAACAGAATATTAGTGTTTGGTGTTAATACTTATTTTTATCTACAGTGCCCCACAGACTCAACATTATAGTACATAACAAAAAAAGGTCTTAACAGCAGGAACTGAAGCATTTTAACAATAAAATTGCCAAGATTTTATAGGTTTATGTTCATTGTCCTATGTTTAATGGCAATCAAATTGCTCAGATTTAGAAGACCAGAACAAGTCATTACAACTCAAGAATGACAAATTTACTTCAAATTCTAAATTTAGTAATCAAATTTTCGTAGAAGTTAAATGGGGATGAGTAATAGAAACAGAGATTAATTGGGAATTAATATGTAAAATGGAACGAAAAATAAACTTACAACAGCAAGCATAGCCCATCTGCAGTGAATGAGTTCAGACTCCTTGTATCTTTCAAGGTTTTCTGGGACTTCACCCAGACGAAGCGGGTCGAACCCGAAATCACTGAATTTCACAAACACAAAAAAACATTTATGTAAGATAATCGTGATTACAAAGTATATACATGTATAACTTGTACCAACTATGAAGCCTATTTGGTATTCTGTGCATTTTGCCTAATGTGTCATTTTAGACTTAAAAATGTTTGGGAGCTTTGAAATAGGAGCTCTAAAGGAGGGCCCATAGTAATAGTGATGTTTAAGTTTTCTTTTTATTATTATTATTTTTTAATTATTTTTCGCATCACTAGAGTCAAGTTTAGAGCTATAGAGCTCAGCTCTGAATCATCACTGTTTTAGATTTTATATTAGTAATTGGCTCAATTTTAGTTTTGAACATTTTTAATTTTCTGTCAATTTGGTCCAACGGATAATGTTAGTTAAAATAATTAACTGCAAATGGTTAATGATTTAGTTAAAATTAGCTCACTGACTTGAAAAAAATTATTATTATATTTTTATAATCGGGTGTTCGGAATAGATTATGCACACCTTGACTATTTTTACCTTAAAAACATAACATGTGTGTATTTTTCATCAAAAAGACAAAAATTAGAACAAATTAAGATGCTGCTAATTTTTTTCTTATCAAATTAAGACAAAATTATAAATTCAATTCAAAATTGACCAAAATATACAAAAATTGTATATAATTTGTCTGAAAATAGAAAAAAAAAATTAACAAAAAAAAAAGGCGTGATAAAGATTAGAGCAGTGCTACCCTAGACTAAAAATTAAATCCACTTGTATGGACGTTTATTAGAATATTTAAGGCAGATATGTCTCATATATTATCTAGTTATCAGTCAATCATCTCTTATATACATTATTAAATCTAAAAAATAGACTCTTATATATATCATTTTCCTAAAGATTATTACCCGGGTGCGGAGCCGTCAAGATAGGGTGGCCTTGGCTCGCCAGGCATCCAGTCAGCCGTCATGGTGAACCGGGAGGTAGCGGTGGCACCACCACTTGGAAGCCGCAACGCGGCGGCAAATTTGGACTTGGAAGAGGAAAGGACTGACGGGCAGACGGCGGCGATGCCGCAGCTCATTAGGGCTTTGGAAGCCATGGCTCAGAGTTGAAGCTGGTTCTGAGAAAGGCCTAATGAAGAGGAGAGTGAAAGAGAAATGGGTGTTGTGGGTTGTGGGAGAGGTAGGAAGAGGCTATACAAGTATATGCAAGTGTGGGGGGATATAGGGGAATCCAACTGTTGATTGCTATTGGCTAAGGGAAATTGAATCTGTGTCTCTATTGGTCCACGTGTTGTATATCAATCCATTTGGATGACTGCGTGGAATATCTGGTGGATTGCATGTCCCATCTTGGTTTTTATGGTGGATGTTGAATCTCATAAACAAAAAAATCATCGAGTTGTTTAAAAATAGAATAAATTACAAACATATCTCTGAGTTATTTAGGTTGTTTGGGCGTCTTAAATAAGTGTACTTTTTTATTTTTTAGATTAAAAGTTAAGGAAAAAAGATGGTTGTTTAAGATAATTTTTTGTCTTTTTACGAAAAAATATGTATTAAAATATTGTATAAAATAGCAAAATTACGTTTTTACTCCTACATTGTAGACTCGCCAGTGATAGACGGCAGGAGGATAGTACGGCTTGGTTGAAATGGTGCATGAGGTTTCACGGGTACTGTTGGGCAGTGGGGGCCCATCACGGGTCCCGTTTCGCTAATCTGAACTATTCAATGTGTAGAACTCGTTGAGTACTATATGCCTATAAAAAACCACTTCAATCGGATATCGATAGTTATATGATCAAAACAGTTTTGTATGAAATTAATGGACGGTGAAAATAAACAGCTGAAAAAAATCTGATTTAATCACATAGCTATTCATATCCGATTAACGTGATTTTTAACAAGCATATAGTACTCGACGATTTCTACACATTAAATGGTTTGGATTATCAAAACAGGACCCGTGGTGGGCTTTCACGGGCCCAACATTACCCTCCAACTTAATGAATATATATCTAATTTTCTTTTTTGTTCCTTTGACAGACCAATACGTACTTATGAACCATCAATTCAGTACCAGCACTGTTAACTCGTTGGTTTGTATTAAAATATTATGTAAATTAAATTTTTTTTATATTTTTAATTTGCGAATAGTGATAAGTTTCTAATTTTTTTAGCAATTTTTTGACTTTTTAGATTTTTTCTGGTATGCCAAACCAGGCCTTAGCCTATGTTTGGGAAGTTGAATTTGAGGATTTTTTAGTTTAAATAGTTACAAAAAATAAAATAGGTTTTTAGTCTAATAAAACAAAACATCACATCCAACCCATAATTATTATATTATCTCACAAAAAAGTCAAAAGCCCTGTCCAAACTGACTTTTTAGCCCTAGGCTAAAATAGTCAAAAAAATCAAAAAGCCAAAAAGTCAACCTACTTCCCAAACGAAGCCTTAAATTACAAATTATTTTATGTGATTTTAGAAATTACGTTATACCTCCTAAGATTTTTAATTTTATAACAAACAAGTCATTTTATTAATAAATTATCAAGTTAATTAATAATTTCTATTATTAATAAATTATCAAGTTAATTAATAATTTCTAATAATATTAAAATTTATTTCAATTAATAATTTAGATAATTTTATTATTGTATAGATGAACAGTTAGAAATTTTACTTTTTCAATTAATTCTGTTAAATAAAAAATTCTGACAGTGAGATATTTATAATTTTTTAAATCACAAAAAATAATTCGTATTTTAAGCAAATTTCAGAGAGTGTATTTGTAATTTACCCTTAAAAATATTAAAGACATATATCCAGAGAATTTCAAGAATTTTGAAAAAAAAAATCATGACCGCTGATTTTTTAAATAGTTTTTTTTTTCTTCATAATTTAGTTAATTTTTTTAGGTGCACCTATTTATTCATATTTTTTTTATTTAATTTTAGTCTACTGTTTTTATTTATTTATTTTATAATTGAGTAATTTTTTTTAAAAATACATTGGCCTCTTTTGATAACATCTAAAAAACTCGACTTATTGACTTTTTTAGGTCATTTCATTTCTCTATTTTTTTACACGTCTTTTTGTAATAAGTAATAAAATCAGCTTAGCAGTCATACCTAAAATGTTAAAAAAAAATTGAAAGAGACAAACGAAAACTCATTTAAAAATAATTTTTGAAAAATCAAATGAAACAATCTTTTGAAAAGTTGATGATCTATTCAATTTTTAAAAATTTAAAATGAAGATTTAAACTCAAGATTGAACACTACATTTATTAATTGAGCAACACATAATATATATAGTTTTAAATTAAAATTAAAATTTATTTTTAAAATATTTACACTCGGTTTGGAGAGTTTAAAAAAATAAAAAATTATTATAAACGATCATATCACTTTCGCAAATGGTTTTTTTGACTTATTTTCATTTTTAGTGAACTTTTTTTAAAATTCTTTTAAAAAGTTTTAGATTTTTAGATTTAGTTCGACAAAATGAATAGGAAAATTATAATTTTTTTAAAAAAATCTAAAAAAATTCAGAAAAGCTAAAAATAAGTCAAAATAAACAATATTTTTTGGCTTATTTGCGTCTTTAGTGTTTATGGAGGCAGAAATAGTCCCACATATACTAGTCGAGAGATTAACAAAGAATCCGCACTGTTCTAAATCTATAAAAAGAATAAAGAGTTAGTGCCTCTCGACTGGCAGTTGCAGGCCAGAGGGCACTTCAACGATCAAGTTATATAGCATATACCTTAATCAAATTGAATAAGTAAATAGAATAGTTTAGGCATACCTCCTCCCTGAAGATGAAGATTACATCTCTTTATATAGGCAAACCTACCACTCATTTTGTCTAATAAGCTTAAGCCACCAATTTGGTTCAATGAAAATAAGTCACTTGTATGACTCAAAACTTATCTATACATGTATGGCAGACCAACTTGGCAAGTTGCATTGCAAGGTATTATTTTATTACCTTAATTCTATTTCCATGTAGGCATTGGGTGGGTCCACCTCACATGGGTTGATTTTCATCCCTCCATAATTGCCCTCAAGTTTTCTCTTCAGTCGATTGAAGTGAGAAGAAGTGGAAACTTTTCTTATATCTAGTGGACTCTTGTACCTTTGTTGCTTCTATAATCAAAGGAGTTTTCTATCCTATACTTGTCATAAACTGGCTTTATTTGCCTTTATCTTGCAGAATATGAATATTTTCACGTGCCCTTCAATCTTTTCGTGTGATACCTTTGATTTTGCAATCATTCTAACGTGGTCACTTATTTTCTAGATGTTATCCATTTTGTTTTGTCGATCTGCTACTTTTGACAATTGCATTGCTAAGACCGTCATAGGTCTTTGTTTCCCCTGGTTAGATAAGATGATGACCTAGTCGCCAAACTACTACCCTCAAGTAGACTTTAATAGTTGACCCTCATAGGTTTTCCTTTGCCCTAGGCAAGGTAAGCCGACGACCTAGTCGTCAAACTATACCTTTAGAGAGTAGACCCTTGTAGGCTTTTCCTTGTTTTTGGCAAGATCGCTTTTGTTTGGCAGTTGGCCTTGATGTGTTATTTGGTTTCCCATCACCCTTGATATTGTAAAAGCATGGAATGTGTTGACAAGATTGATTTTTGTACGGGTTGATAGCTTTCTATGAGAGCCAAGCACACTCCTTTAATCCTAGTGTTGATAACAATGCTTAATGTGCTTAGCCTGGCTAGGATCTTATTGTTTGATGCCTAGTAGGACCAGCGCTTACTCATTTTTCAATACTTAGTTCGACTAAAGCTTACTCAATTTTAGATACTTGGCTCGGCTAAGGCTTATTCAATTTTCGATGCCTAATAAGACAAGGGCTTACTCAATTTTTAATGCTTAGCTTGGCCAAGGCTTATTCAATTTCCAATGCCTAGTAAGACTAGGGCTTACTCATTTTCCGATGCTTAACTTGGCTAAGGCTTACTTAATTTCTGATCCTTAGCTCGGCTAAGGCTTATTCAACGTCTGATGCCTAGTAAGACCAGGGCTTATTCAATTTTCGATGCCTAGTAAGACTAGGACTTACTCATTTTTCGATACTTAGCTTGACTAAGGCTTACTCAATTTTTGATACTTAACTCGGCTAAGGCTTATTCAATGTCCGATGCCTAGTAAGACTAGGGCTTATTCAATTTTCGATGCCTAGTAAGAATAGGGCTTACTCATTTTTCGATGCTTAGCTCGACTAAGGCTTACTCAATTTTTGATGCTTAGCTCGGCTAAGGCTTATTCAATTTCCGATGCCTAGTAAGACTAGGGTTTACTCATTTTTCGATGCTTAGCTCAGCTAAGGCTTATTCAATTTTCGATGCCTAGTAAGACTAGGGCTTATTTATTTTATGATGCTTAGCTCAGCTAAGACTTACTCAATTCCTGATGCTTAGCTCGGCTAAGGCTTATTCAATTTCTGATACCTAGTAAGACTAGGGCTTATATAATTTTCGATGTTTAGCTCAGCTAAGGCTTACTCAATTTCTGATACTTTTCTTGGCTAAGGCTTATTCAATTTCTGATGCCTAGTAAGACTATGTCTTATTCAATTTTCGATGCCTAGTAAGACTAGGGCTTACTCATTTTCCAATGCTTAGCTTAGCTCTTCAAATGAGGTTCAACCGAGTTGCTGGATTTCTGAACAATCCTTATATTTGAAAAAGTTTGTTAAATAATTTTTGACATTCATCTACGAGTCATCCTGCTGAGATGGGGCATGAAGAAGACAGTCACCTGCAACAAAAACTTTTGAGCTTCTCGTGATGAAGTTCCATGGACCACATTCTGTCAAATCTACAAAGCCGTGACTAGAAGGTATTCTCGAGCAACTCTTGCTTGCGATGGTTAGGTTGTTAATTATGGTTTATGATTCTAGCCGCTAGATAAGTCCGTCCTAACTTTGTGATTATCTTGGTAAAATTTCACGTTGATCGGATACAATTTCACCGTTGATCTTTTACTTGATGCTTCCAAATTTGTCGGTTGTTGATCACTGTCTTGGACTTGAAATTTACAGAATCGGATCTGAAAAATGGATTCTACATGTTGAAAAACTTAAGGGAGGTCATTCCTGAAGTCATCAGACCTCCCAAGTAACCTGGATGCACTAGGATGTACCGTAGTACCAAAGACCGAGAAGCACTGGATAGAAT